TTTGTGCTGGGAGGTTCTCAGGTGGCAACGACTGATGGGGCTAGGTCGGCTGCTCGGGTGTCCTTCTGTTCTCGTGGCTTTTCCGCATCAAGTAATTTTTTTCTAACGTTTCATCAGTGTTTGCGTTCTCTGACTAGTCAGCGGTTCCTTCTTTCGTGTAACGAAACCGTACCGGGAGCGCCAAATCCAGGTTGTTGGTAGTGAAAGCAAATGGAGCGCCGTGGTCAGTGTTGCCCCAAGGAGCAAACATAGCTTGTCCGGCACTTCCAAAGATGTGTTGTCAGCACAGGGAGTAAACGCTAAGTTCCCTCAATAGGTACGAGTGAGAAACAGTTCGTGGGTGGGTGGTTTTTCCCTGAATTGTCCTTTTTCCTGTCTTCTGTTCTGACTCTAATACTGTTAGGATTTGGTTTCGGATGTAACAGAACGTGATTTTAAACTCGCTTTCATCTTCCCCCCAGGATCATTGAGCTGTGTCATCAGTTCCCTCACGGTATCACAGACCAGGTGATTCAAAATGATATGCCTCACATGGAAGCCCAGCAGCGAGCCATGGCGATCAACAGGCTGCTCTCAATGGTAGGGTGGTCTCGCCATCTTCATGTTACTTCAGCCAACCTGGAGCACTCTTCGTACACACAGGCTGAATGGTAGCAACCTGCTGGGCAGGGCTAGCAAATTAGTCCCGCTGGATTTAGTGGCATTTGCCGTAATGCACAGTTACCATAACTTACTTTTGGTAGCCATAAGCACTTGTGATTGCCAAAGCCAATTAAAACATAGCCCAACTTACTCTTTCTGTTCTGTAATGCAGAGTTACCATGAATGTGTATATCCCTGTGGGTTTCTAAGCGAGGAAGCTACCCCTGGGAAGTATGTTTGTTTTTTGATGTGTCTCAAGTTCTTTGGTCTTATTTGCCCTGTGTATTACTTTGTAAAGCAGAATGTGATGCAGTGTACGAGTCGGATGTAGGTGTAGTTGCAGTGGTTCAGCAGACAGCCACAGGTGATGACTACTAGGCCCACTAGCGATGGAGATTATCTCTATTAGCTGGAGATAAAATAATGGAAGTTATCGCATGCTCTTATGGTCTTCTCCAAACCCCTCACAAAATGCCAAGGTTGTGGATTACTCTGATGATAAGCAGGTGAAACATCTCAAGGGACTTTTAGCATCTTCTGTGAATTTCCCACATCTCGCTGGGTGTTTTTCTTTACTGTATCGTGAGTTGGCCTAAGATAGGAGCGAGGATCACCATCAACTACTTGTGCCACATGTTGAGGAACAGAGAGTAGCTGTTTAGTCTTGCTGGTTCAGTTTGGCATAAACTTCAGTATCAGCCAAATGTTCAAGGTCTTTAAAGATCAAGATGCCTTTCACTTCCTTAGGAGGCTGCTTCATGGGCATGCAAAGTCAGGAGAGAAACTGAGCGGTACAGTGGAGAAAGCACTGTTGAAAAGACGGGCTTTCTGAGAAGGAGAGGTGTTGGAAAGTATCCAGACTGAGCGAGGTGCAGTATTTTGTTTTTTTTTAATAACTGAAACTTCTTAGCTTGGACCATACTAGGTGGCACTGGAAGTAATCCAATCTCTCTCTTTTTGGTCTTTCTGTTATAGATAGGAGGTTTTTCAGCACACTGGATGGGAGCTTGTGTGTTCAATAACTTTTGAGTGGGTTGGCCAAATTTCACAATGAGGCTTCAAAGATAGTTAAGTCTCTAGAATTTGTTTAAAATAAATGCCTTGGGGTGTGCGGGGAGATCTAGTAAGTACCTCAAACATGGGGAAAAACTGCCGTGAGAGCTTAGCCTTAATAAGCATCAGGTACTTCACTTGATAAGCTGCAAGTACGTCATCTGTAGAAAAGCACTGAAGGGGATCATCTTGAGGTGTGAGCTTCAATCAACCACACAATGCAAAACTGTAAGAAAGAAGGCTGGAACTATGGGGAAAGGATTAGCTGGCAATGAAAGGGTAAATGTTGTTGCTGTTATATGCAGTTATGCTCTTGGGCTTGTCTAATGGCTTGCCTCTTCAAAATAGGAAATAAGAATTTGCCTGGTCTAGGCACAAGTGTCAAGGGTAGAACAAATGTTTTGTGTGTGAGAGAGAAGCTGGTAATTTGCCTCTGAGAGGCACTATCAATCCTGACCAGCAGTTTTCCAGTGGTTTCTACTTAGTAAACTTTGCTAGACTTAGTAAACTTTCCAGAACTTTGCTACTGGGACTCAGAATTGTTCAGAACTTGTGCAGTAGAGCTCCAACATGATTTCTGGGTAGCCATGCAAACGAATGTTTTGGTGGAAAGGGACAGAAAGGTACACAAGAACTTGATGTCCCTCATGCAGTGGTGAAAGTTAGGAAGAATAATAGGAAGTGCATAGATGTTGTGGGAAGGGACGGGAACTGTATTTATTATTTCTGATAGCTGATGATAAATGGATACTTGTAGGGGGAAGAAATATCTCAAAGGGTATTATTGTTTACGGTGGTTAGAAATGTTACTTTTCCCTTTTCTTTATTCAGTTGACATGAAATGAGATTTTTAATTTAGAATATTGGAAGATTCTTGTCACATTGTGAAACAAGCTATTTCAAGGAAAGTAAATGCATTGTGTCCATCTCTCCTAGGGGCAACTGGACCTTCTCAGGAGCAATGCAGGTCTTCTGTATAGAATCAAAGAGTCTCAAAATGCAAGGTGAGCCGAGTGTTTGCTGGATAAATATATTTGGAACACAGTTCTGCAACTCACATGCCACGTTGCAAAGAATACACTCAGCAACATAATATGGATTCTGTAACATCAACGTTACAGAACAAAACTACTTATTTCCGGAGGGTACGCTTAACTCCCCTGAGCTGATCCTGGGAACCGTTTTAGATGTAGTGGTTTCTACTGAACAGAGGGTGCCATGGGACTACAGTTCTGACTTGCTAGCAGAGTTCCTGGTCCAGATGACAGCAGTGTGATCTGTGCAAACATATGGATATGCTTGGGGGAAATCCAGCTGTAGCCCGACCATACCATCTGCAAACTGTGCTTCTATGGTCTTCCTCACTGCTCATGTTACAGGATCAGTGCTCATATTCAGAGCTGTTCCAGGATCCTCCAAAGATGTTCCAAAGGCATGAGCAGAAACTCATACCTTTGATTTATTAAAATGTACCTTCAAGCCATGTCTTGTGATGCCTGTGTAAATCTGATGAAAGATGCCTAGACATACTTCTGCAAAGAAAATATCCTTAAAAATTATCCTCAGTGCAAGCATGACATCCTCTC